TGTGTGTCACTGTTAAGGTCACCTCCATTGATTCTTGGGGACCTCCCTTGTCTCAGGTCTCTGTCTTGTCCTGGAAATGTTCCTCCTACCTCCTCAACTCTCCCCAGTTACATATTTCCATTTATTTTCGAGGTCCTCTAGCCATCTCTCCTGTCCCTCCCCACACCTGATCCTGAGCCACCACATTCCCCTTCCAGTATCCTCTCTAACTGTCTCTTATGACTATTTCATTCCCCCTTCTAAATGAGATTCAAGCATCACTTGGGCTTTACTTCTTGTTTAACTTCTTTGGGTCTGTGGAGCATGGGCATCTTGTATTTTATGATTAATATACACTTATAAATGGGTATATATCATGCATGTTCTTTGGGGACTGGGTTACCTCACTCAAAATAATATTCTCAAGTTCCATTCATTTGCCTACAAAATTCACGATGTCTTTGCTTTTTAATAGCTGAATGGTGTAGATGTGCCACATTTTCTTTATCCATTGTTCAGTTGACGGACATCTAAGTTGTTTCCAGTTTCTGGCTATTAGGAATGAGGCATGAACATAGTTGAGCAAGTATCATTGGGGTATGTTGAAGCATCTTTTGGGTATATGCTCAGGAGTGATACAGCTGATTCTCGAGGTAGAATTATTCCCAGTTTTCTCAAAAACTGCCAAATTTCCCACCAGCGATGGGCGTGCATACCATACTCACAACCACCATTGCTTCCCATCCTTGCTAGCATGTGCTGTCCTTTGAGTTTTGGGGTGTGTTGTAGAATCTTGGAGTTGTTTTAATTTGCATTTCCCTGATGACTAAGGACTTTGAACATTTCTTTAAGGGCTTTTTGACCATTTGAGATTACTCTGCTGATAATTTTCTGTTTAGCTCTGTACCTCATTTTTTAATTAAGTTATTTGGGTTATCGATGTCTAACTTCTTGAATTCTTTGAAAATTTTGGATATTAGGCATCTGTCAGGTGTAGGGTTGGTGACAATCCTTTTTCAATCTGTAGGCTGCCATTTTGTCCTATTGACTGTGTTCTTTTAGGCATGGCACTTTGCTAAAACAGAGACTAAGAGTTTCCATCCTGATCTGAAAATTGGAGACATGGAAATGTCACTTTAATTTCCTCAGACAAAGTGATGAGATGAAAGCCATACCCACACTCTGCAAATACACAGCTTGGGTTAAGCCCAGAGCATTTCCTTCTCCATTCTCAATTCAATATCTGTAGGCCTAGGCCTGGAAGCTGCTAGCCTCTGTATGATCTAATCTTCCAAGCTTACTGATTCAATCTGAATTTCTTTGCTTTTGACTGAATTGCTTTGTCTGGCCTCATACTAACTTTGGCAATAATGTTCAAACCTTCTGACTTTTCATTTTCTGACTCATTCTGTCTTCACCTGTATCTAGCTTGTTCTCTCTCTCTCTCTCTCTCTCTCTCTCTCTCTCTCTCTCTCTCTCTCCCTCTCTATCTCTCTCTCCTCTCCCTGATCTTTAGTCTCTGTGCTTTTCTCATGCGAGTCAGGTGTATCCCATCTCTGACTCTGTCATATATCTGTTTTGTCACCTTGTCTTCCCTTCAATTAGACATCACTTCAAACACGGCTGCTTTCTTCTACAAACTAACCTTAGCTTCTTGGTAGGGATATACTAACAATACGTCTGTATTCCAGCCAGATCATACTATAATATAGGGCATGTCTGCATTCTGGTCAGATCATATCTTTAGATATGGTCCCTGATCAAATCAGCCATGATGATGGATAAAAATTCCTCTACAGAGGCAGAGAGAAAGCTAACTGGGATTGATACGGACTTTTGAAATCTCAAAACCCAACCCCTTGACACATATCCTCCAACAAGTCCACACCCATTCCAAGTAGGCCACTCATCCTAATCCTTCCCAAAATCCCTAGTTCCACTAACTTGGGAGCAACATTCAAACATATGACCTATATGGACCATTACCTCTTTCAAACAACCACACACAGCAAAACATAGTACAAAAAAATCTATTCTTTCATATAAAAAATATTCCACTAGATTCAACATGAAGAAGCAGGTATAGAGTGTGTCTTCTAAGAGAAGACCTGAACCAGCACATCTCCCAAGGTTCCTCTAGGCCCCTCCCCATGGAATTTGGCATCTCTTTGTTCATGTTTTAATTATCCATGGTTGGCACATAGAAGGCTCTTCTAGTGAATACCTGCTTAGTCAACTGATTCTAGGTGCTGGTTACAGCTCATTGAAAGAAATAAAAATCAAATAAAAATCTTGGAAGGTAAAATAGTTACCCCTCCCCAATTTCTTTAAAATGATAAACATTTACAAATCATTGGGTGAGCAATTTCCATTAGGAGTTGTTAACTGAATACTACTTACTTATTTTTGAGTCAAGAAAGGATGATGGTCCAGGGGAAAAATTCATTACCAGATGAACATTCTAATTAACCAAGTGTTTTCATCGATGTGTTTTATTTGGCCTTTGTGATTAAGCCGTTTTTTTTCAAACCAACATCAAGTCTATGACTGTATTCAAAATTAAATTCTAAAAATATTTTCTGGATGTGCCACTTTGTGTGGAGTTTAGCTAGAGTGAACTGTGAGTTTAACCTTGTGTCCCTTAAACTTGTCCTCCCTCACTATGAGAGCTAAAGGTCCTGGCTGGAACCATGCTTCAGATTGTTGGATCTACCACACTGAAGGGTGACTTTTGACAGTAAGGCTAAATCTGTGACACTTTCCAACTTCATCAGCTACCCAGGGTAAGGATTCTCTGGGGAAAAGTTAGTTTCTGAGAATGGATAGTCTTCTCGCAGGTTCTCTCCTGCTAGACATTATACCGAGAGAGTAATGAAATAAATACATTTTTACCCATCCTCTTTCCCTGTAATCTTCCTCCTTCCAAAGAATGTGTGTATCAATAAATAGATTATACAAATAAACATTTAAAAGATAGTCTGCTAATTGTCAGACAGAATGATGCATTCTTCAAAATCTATTATCATGCCTTTCTGAACTTTACTGCTTATCAGCACTTTTTCCCCCTCAAGAAAAACAAAATAGCAACATTTGTTCAGAAAAAAAAAGCAAACTGTTTTTCTTCCTTTCTTATTACTTTTATTGTTTGAGATTTCTTTTAGACTAAAATGTGGCATTGTGATTTTGAGATGGAAAAGAAATCCCTTGTCTTTCAAACATAAGAATGTGATTGGGTGCTATTGTTGCCGCTGATGAGCTAAAGAGGTTAACGGATCACAGAGCTGGCAAACGGCCATCTCTGCTCCTGCTCCTTACCTTACACGATATACACGCGGCTGTTGCTGCTGAGCTTATGATCTCTGTTTGAGTAGATGCTAAATAAATTTATGGAAATTTAACTTGCCTCTTCTGGAACTCAACTGTTCTTTCTTTCAGGCTATTGACCGATAACTTAAAAATGTACTTTGAGCTTGGCAGTGGTGGCGCACGCCTTTAATCCCAGCACTTGGGAGGCAGAGGCAGGCGGATTTCTGAGTTCAAGGCCAGCCTGGTCTACATAGTGAGTTCCAGGACAGCCAGGGCTACACAGAGAAACCCTGTCTCGAAAAAACAAACAAACAAACAAAACAAACCAAAAAAACAAAAAACAAAGGAAGGAGGAGGAGGAGGAGGAGGAGGAGGAGGAGGAGGAGGAGGAGGAGGAGGAAAAAGAAAAAAAATGTACTTTGAAATCCGAGCTCGTGACCTTTGGAGGTGATGGTAAAGATGGGTCCCCCCCCCGAAAGGAAGTGGGGCTGCTTCAGAACGAGAACTCAGAAATACTGTGTCTTATGGATTGCTGCCAACATTTCATTTTCAGATAGACAGAATTAAAACAATGTGATTGTCATAACAGAAAGAATTGATATGGCACAATTCTTTCTACTCCAGTTCACTGAGCAATAATATTGTGATGCCTTCCTAAAGGACTTGCACATTTGTGTAATGAAAAGTATTCAAGAGAGTGGACTATCTCTACATAAACAACCAGGGAAAGAAGGAATGGAAGGAGAAACCGTGTTTAATTGTTTGTTCAGGCAAACCCCATGAGAAGGGTTAGTAACAATTTTCTTATAATTGTGGTTAGTCAGGGATGCTTTTTGAGAATAGAAGTTAGGAGAGAAGCCCCATACATAAGTTTCCAGGTGGGCTTTCTTCCACCTGCAAAGTAGCTGAGTTCAGCAAACAGACTCAGTTCCCTGGCCTGTCATCTTGCTGGAGGCAAAGGCTAGCTGGGACAGAGGGACTAAATTGGACTGGTGAGTGTGCCTCTGGGGGTTTTGGAACTCCAGACCTGAATGAAGACTGAGCCCAGAGTTCCTCTTCCCAACTAGGCAGTGATCGCCCCCTGTGACTCTGAAGGCACACAGCAGCCCAAAGCACCGGCTGACGCCACCAGCCCCTCCTATCCGCTAGCACTCTCACTTGGCATGCTGAAGTCAATGTGGTCTCTCTGGACACCTGTGCGACCCCTCTCAAGCTCTGGGTCTAGCTCCCCACTATCAGAGCAAAGAGATCTGTTTCACCTGTTCAGACACCCGGTCCCTTCGATCTCTAAGTATCAAATCACCGTCCTGGCAGCCCAGTAACCTCTTCAAGGTTTTCAAAGCTGTGATCTTAGATTGCTCAGGAGCCCTGACCACCCACCTTGCAGCTACAGCGTGCCTAGCCAAAGCTTTCCGTTCCAGGGTGGGACAGGCTGTGGCTCAGCCGCACGTCCTCCACCGCCCAGTATATCCTCCTCCTCCCTCTTCAACCCCTAAGGCCTGGCCCTGCCCCTGCCTATAAGAGCTTTGTTGCCTGCTCCCACCTCCGCTCCAAAGACACCTGCGCTCCCTTCCCCCCCCCTTTCCCCCCCCCCCCCCCCCCCCCCCCCGGCTTTCCTCTAGGTCTCTCTGCTGCCTTTAGGAGCACAGGAGCGGCCACTGGAGGAGGAGCAGAGGGAGGAGGGGAACGCGAGTAGGAGAAGGGGCGGGGTGGGTGGGATGAGAGGCGGGAGGGTGTGGACTGGCAGCCACTCTGCAGCTGGCCACCGGGGACCCGGTTCCTCCCGCGAGCCGAAGTGATGGAGGGGAAGATATCTTCTTAGACACACACGCGCGCGCACATCCCGCTGGGCACGTCTCCGGGAGGCTGCAGCCAGCTCAAGCGCGCCAGGGACCGGGCGGCGGCCGTGACAGCGCGAGCGGCGGGGAGTCCGCGGTCCGCACAGCTTGGCACCGGTCGCCGGAGGACGCAGGGAAGGAAGATCTCAGCCTCACTGACTGTTGCTCTTTTAGTGGCATCTCCAAAGATCGAGCATCCTGACATTGTCACCGCGGACGCCAGAGGCTCTGCCCCCGGCGTGCGGAGTCCGGGTCGGCTTCGGTGCCCGCGCCGGGTGAGGAGAATGCGAACCTCTTCCCGCAGAGCTCCTGCGGACCTCTTGGCTGTGCTGACTCGGGCTCCAGCGGCTGTCCCAGACGTGCCCGCGCCGCGAGAACGCGCCCTGTCGCACCTGGCTCCAACCTCCTAGGGAAGTGAGGGAAACGCGCCCTAAACTCCACTACTTCTCTTCCCCACCTTGCCACTCCCGCCCCGGACACCACAGCCGCCGCTGTCGCCGCCCCAGAGTGGAAGCCCAAGTACTGTACTGCTTGTTTGCTCTGCTCGCCGGCTCGCTCCTTGTTGAGCATCCCAAACTACTGGACAACTGCCACTGCGATCGCAGGAACCACTCGGTGACCCGTCGCGACTGGTCTGGGCCAGCACTTTCCAAGCGGAGGCTGTCACCACTAGGGACTACGGTGAGTGAGCACACGCGTTGCTCGCCTCGCGCGGGAAAAAGGGTAGGGGGCTCGAGGCTCGGACCTTCTGGATTTAGGAGAAAGTGATAAGGGGAGTCACCTAGAGGAGGCACTCCTCTGCCCCACGCACTTTGTAGGGCGCGGCTTTCCTAGACGCTTCCTGGGGAAGACTTTGAGCCCCTTGATGGAGTAGGGGTTAAACTAATAGGACAAGAGAAACAGAGGGAGCAAGCAATTGCTTAAGCAAATTTAGAGGTCTGCCTCCAAACCTGCTAATCTGCCTGCTCACCCGCTTTCCTGTCTGTCTGTCTGTCTGTCTGTCTGTCTGTCGTCTTGCTCAGAGACCTACATCCAGCGCTCCCCTAGAATCAGATGCAGAGTATGCGGCCACTGATGATCACTCAGAGTTTGGAGATTCCTGCGTGGCCACTTCTGGGGTAGTGGTGTACTGTTATTTGAAGTTATATAGTGGGTTTTAAGGGAGTGGGCTACACTGAGGTCCACGCAAAAGGCAGACAGGGTAGAAAGAAGTAGTAACATTATTACCACGGAAGTGGGTGCCTACTCTTTGGAGAAGACCCGACCGCTCCTAATGTGGATTCCCATTTCCGCAAGCCTCAGTCTGCTTAACCCTTCTCACTCACACCCAAAACAACACACACACACACACACACACACACACACACACACACACAAACACACACACGGCATGGGTGCAATTGAAGGAGTGATCAAATCATTATTTCTAAGAAATCTGCAGCTGCTGTGACCCACTACAGCATAGACTCCTGCCTCCTGGACTTAGCACACTGTCTAGTGAGGAAGGAACGGCCTCCCCCCTCAAACACAGGCCTAGTGAGGATGACTTTGGGTGTTTAGGATTCCAGGTACACACCAAGGAAACCTCTAGCGCTACTACTCCTGAGTCATTCCAGCTCGGTGGGCGCAGGTCTGGGCGTCCGTCCTTTAGTGCTTCGACCCAAGAAAGCTACTGCTGGAGCATGTGTGCATGTGTTCTGGGTGGTTCTTTCCTTCCTTAATTCTCTCTCTCTCTCTCTCTCTCTCTCTCTCTCTCTCTCTCTCTCTCTGTCCCTCTCTCTCTCTCTCTCCCTTTTCCTCTCTCCTTCCCCTCATCTGTTTCGTCTCTCTCTGCCTCTTTCTCTGTTTCTCTATCTCTGTCATTTCATGGAAAATGCTAGTCTCTTCAAGGAACGTTTAATGTTTGTAAAGTGCTTTACGTCGTATTACAATTACTTCGTGGATATATTTAATTGCCCTGTGACTCTCTTCTGATTGATGTAAACTGAGCCTGGTCTTGGGTTGGAACATAAAGGGCAGGCATCCTCTCCCTCAGTGGCACTGTTCCTATGCAAACCGATTTGTTGACAGTCTTAAAAGTGGGTCGTTCTAAATGGTGCTGTTCAGTATTACCGAGCTTTGGACAGATGTTTTCTTGCTACAACTCAATTCCTGTCTACTTTTCAAAGAAGCTGTTGAAGACGATAAAAAGGGATTACCAAATTTGGATAACAAATATAACTATATTTTTAAAAAATATTTTATTGCTATTAATTACAGCACATTTTAAAGTTATCTCTGTTCTTTCTCTTCATGATTTTCCCCGTCTTTATTCTTAGTGATGGTCTTAGCAGGAGAAATGAAAGCACCTTTCCTTACCTTTTCCACTATGCTTGTTCACAACTAGTATGGTTGGCTATGACTGTATCAGCATCAGACTGGCTTCTGGGAGAAAATAAAGTCATTTGTTAGTGAATTGCCATAAAACACACGGCAATGAGACAAACAGTGATCAGAAGGAAACTATTGTTTGACTGTAACTGTCTTCACTGCTGTGTATTAACTGTGGTAAGCATAATAGCTCTGGCCTTTCCTCCAAGGTATCCGGAGCTATTTAAACATGTTCTGTCCTCACTTAATAAAAGAGAGATAGACTCCATTACTTATGTAAAGTATTTTCAAGTATAGTATTTTCAAGTATATGTATCTAAACAACTTATGAGGGAAATTGTCAGCAGAGCACTCCCTCACTAGCCACAATAGGCACTGGGTCCTGGTTTTTAGACTAAACCAGACCTTAAGCTTAATGTTTGAAGTCACTCCCTCAGAGGCTTTACAGGCTCAGTGTTTGGATGACATGCTGGCTTCACTCTCCTTGCCATCTTGCAGGCCTGCACAGATGTTTTTGAATGAATAACTTTCCTCCTCACTGAATTTGCACTCATTCAAAAAGTATTTCTTGAGCACATGAGCACACACAATAAGCATAGCTGAGCTGGGCCATTATTTCAAACAAGGAAGGATTATTGCCTGAGAGAGTGCGTCTGCTCCTACGTTGGAACTGTGCAACCGTGGCTTTCTTGAGGATGCAGCGTCTTCCCAAAATAAGTGATCAACCAACAAAGAGCTGTTGACTCAAAAGTCACATGAGATGTTAAAGTATCATTGATCTCCACCCCAATCCTGCCATTATTTTTAACCCATGTGTCATTTAGCTGACTCAACTACAGATAACTGATGTTGTCTCTAACTTCTTGGCTGCTTTTTTAGAGTAGGTGTCTGCACACTTAGGAGTAAGTCATGAATCTGTACTGGGTCAGATTTCTTGCTCTGTCTTTCTGTATACTTCTGAGGAGTAGTGCCAGATCTCAATACACCATTAGTATTCACTTACAAATTAACGCAAATCAAAGCAAATAGGTAATGTTTTGCTTCCTCATGTTCTCATCCTCATACTTTTCCAACCTTAGAAACAGTAACACCTCTTAATAAAGTATTTATATGCAAATGAGGATGTTAACAAAAAAAAACGATTATTTAGCTTCTTGAAGAAAAAGTGAAACTTCTTATGGAGATTTTAGTTGAGAGGAATTTGACTCTCTGGTCATATCTTGGCAGGATGAATTTTTTATGGTAGTGACCTTTATTCATAACTAAAGTAACTCTTTGTAGTAAAAGATACTATTATTGCCAGAGACGGAAAGAGCGCTTACTACAGTTGACTGTGGCATATTTACAACACAAGGTGAGCTCGGTGCCAAAGTGTAACAGATCATTTGAGTACTTATAGATTTTATTTGCTATATGTGCATAATTTTACATTTCTGTATAATATTTTATAATAATACTCCAAGATTGTAATTGAGTAGTTATTGTTTGGTAATGGGTTATAATCTGTTTTAGGAGAAGTGAGTACCATGGGGACACAAATATAAGAAAAAAGAATGGTGTTCACAGGTTAATATTTACTCAAGTCCTATCCCCAACATAGAGGCAAGTCAAAACCATGACCTGTTCCGTTTTCCTTATGGACTGGAATGCTGGAATCCTGCTACTTATTTAAGAATAGCAAGATTGTTAAATTTTCTATCAACTTCCTATGAATTCTTTAAAGCATGCTAAATCATATTTTTTTTCCTGGAATACAATTAGTTTTTGGCAAGTTTTCCTTTCTGTTTAATCCATTCATTTCTAAAACATTGATATTACCCTATTCTACAGGTGAAATTCAATTAAAGCAAGATATCAATGACTACATTTTATGCCACCGATTAAACACAATTCAAGATAGTTAACCCTTATCAATTGTTAAAAAAAATATTACATTTGAAATTCCCCAAAATAACCTTTCTGAATCTTTTATGCAAATTTCTTTTTTTTTATGTCGAAGACTGTCTTTTTTTTAAATAATTTATCTATTTTTTCTCAAATCGTAATTCATTCACACAGGGGTTATAAATACAGAAAGGCAGGATGTGGGGAAGAGGATGACACTGGAGTGTGGGTGTTTAGGGGGAATACAGATATCTTTCAGAAGCGGGTATCGGCAAGGTGAAGGTTCAGGGGACAAGTCACTATGACTCTGCCTATGACTCACTTGTCCTTATCTAAGTTGGTATTATCTTTATGCAAGTTTCATTATCTGCCTTATTTTTTAAAATTTTGTACAATGGGCTATTTTCCATTATTTTGAAAAGTTTCATGAAAGAAAACTATGTCTGTATTAAGAAGTGTTTGAAGAGTTGTTTTTACCAAATTTTATATGTAAATTATGCAAATATGTTTCTATATGCAAATGTTCATATATGTATTTATGTGTATATAAATAAGCATATAAGGCATTTATTTCTGTATTAGTCTTTGTGTATAGCTATATGTTGGAATAACTGATAGGAACATCTTCTGTGACATATGTGACTTGTAAATGAGCTTCATCTTTAGAGTGATACTTACATGTGTTTCAGAAGCTTGGTACAAGAATTTTGGATTGATAAGCTTTTATGGGCAATTTTATTAAGAAATAACATAGCTACAAGTGTGTGCCTAACGCTTTATAAAATACTCTAGTGATAATAACTGCCTTATTTCTCTGTCTCTTATTACCTCTCTGTCATAATTACCAAATGGCAAAACAGATACTTGATCCCAGGCAGCCTCCTATGCTGTTCCACTGCTTTTGAATAGGGCTTTTTTTTTTCTTTTATTTTTACTTAATTTTATGCTGGTTAGTTTTCATTAACTTTACACAAAATAGAGTAACCTAGGAAGAGGGAACCTCAACTGAAAAATTGCCTCCATCTATTGGGCCTGTGAACATGTACATGGCTTATGGTCTTGATTAAAGATTGATGTGGAAAAGCCCAGCCCATAATGGGTGGTGTCAACCCTGGTCAGCTTTACTCCACAGTCTCTGCTTCAGTTCCTGATTCCAGGAATCCTGCCTTGAGCTCCTTCTGTTCCTACCTCCAGGACTCATTGTAATGTGGAAGTTAAAACCAAATCAACTCTTTCTTCTCCATTATCATATGACTAAACAGCAAAGTCAAAGGCTCTAGTGAGCAGCAAGTTAACTGTAAAGTGAACCGCTTCTGAGATTTACAATGATTTTTAACTTAGAGTAAATCCTTGAGGAATTTAATGACAATAGTTGCCTAGGCTGAACCTAGTTGAGACTGGAGTGCAGTACTGCACCTTGATGTAGG